TCCAAACGTGAGCAGGCCACCGATGGCTGCGAGTACAGAGAGATGGGAAGGCATGGTGAGATGGTTTCCGGTCCGATGCCGATCAATTAGAGATATACCGCCAGCTTTATGCTTCTCGAAGGACGGGATGCATCCGAGACTAGACGGCAAATTTTCGCATCGCCTATGATGACAAAACCAGATGTGGACGTGCCCCGCATGTCTTCCTCCATCTTACTCCGCTTATCACCCCATGGGTACCAGCATTTTCGTATCCGTGTACTGTAACCGGTGGGTGCATGATGAGGTTGAGCCGGCATCGATGGAATTGGGCATATCGGAGCTTCCAAGTACGTACCTTCTCCGCAAAACCACTCAAAAGCTACGCCGCACCTAGCTAGATTCAGGCCTGGGGTAAACGTGCGTTCTCGGTTGCCCAGGTTTACTTTTAAGCGTTGGGTTAGGATTGATGGGACCGATGTGCAATTGCGTCAACGGACGTGCTAGCGCGAAGCGAAATCTTCCCGAGAAACATTCCATGCTCCGATCTTGTTCTGTCAGCAGCAGTAAATGAGGAGCGTCAGTGCGCCAAGACAAAATGTGCGGGAATAAGGCCATTAGAGCCTCAACTTGTTGTCCTAATGCTGGTGTTGTGGGAACTAATGTACTCGTACATGCCATGGCGACCAGCTCGAACGAAGACCAAGCCCCAGTCTGAGTCAAGAGCGCACTCCGTTCTTCAAAGCGCGAGCGCAAAATCCCAGACTTGTACTTTTCGTGTGCCGAAAGGCCCACCTTGCCTGATGAAAAGACTCAAGACGTTGAATTTATCCAGCCTCTCTTCGTCCACCAACGGCTCACCAGCAGCGTTTGGTACCTCGGCCAACTTCTTCCAGTCGTTGTATGCTCCGGCGGCTGTCGCGGCCCAAATTTGCACAGTCATCTTCGGTTGATCTGGTAGGATCGCGAAGACGTTGTCGCCTACGGCGGCGATTTTACCTCGATAGGCAAGATATGGGGGCGTTGACAGACCGGGCGTCTTGATGGCGGTCTTGGAAAACTTTCCTTCTGGAGTCCGGAGATAGTGGTAGAATTGCGCTGTGCCTGTCGAGTTGTCGCGCATGAGGGCATGGAATCGGCCTTTCTGGTCAGCGCACTGGGCTTCTTGATTGATGATCTGGCTGTTTTGTGGGATCGAATACACCTTGATCCCTGGTGTAGATGGCGTTATCGGCTTTGCTGCAGTTTGACCATTGGTCTGCTTCCAACTCTTGCCATCATCCTCCGACAAGGCGAAGTAGAAGTCGTGGTTAGTCGAGGGAGTAGGTGTCTCCCTCACCGTCCACGAGACGAAGAGCTTTCCACCCTGGTTGCTGATGCCGTTGATGTATGCATTGTTGTCTTGACCTTGGAGGTATTTGCCGACCGCGCTCCACTGCCCGGATGTTGCAGAGTATCGATGTATGTACGAGTCACCGGCGCCAGACTGACCAATACGGAATTCCATCAGAAGATCGCCGTTGTCGAGGCGTTCGAACCGAGGGTATGTGAGCGGCGTCCATGGTCCGGTTGAGCCAGGCAGACTGTGTTGGACCGCTCCAAAGGCGCTGGCTGTCCACTGTTCGGGGATTGTTTTAGCGATGCCTGTGTTGCTCGCACGATAGTTGAGTGGTACGTCGTGATGATCGAAGCTCAGATGAATCTTGCCGTCGCCGCTAATGCCCATGCTGATAGTGTTGTGTTCATCGAGAGTCGTTTGCACATAGTCTGTGAACGCAAAGTACTGCCAATCACCCAAAGAAGGGTTGATTTTGCGCCGACCGAGATTGACATGATGTTTGCCGTATCCCGAAGCTGTCTTGTAGAATGCGACGTATTGATAGTCGCCAAAGGTGGTCAAGGCGTGTTGTTGGAAAGCAAGGCCATTGAGACGGACTGAACCCTCCACATCATTCGTGATGTTCCAGTTCTTGGTCGAAGTGATGGATATCGCAGAAGAAAGCGAAGAAAGCGTGACGCAGCACGCGAGTAACGAAGAGAAAAGTCTCATGATTCTTGGCTGAGCTCTAAAAGGAAGGCTATGCTCCAATTAAATACATGCCGGCTACTACATAATGAGAGCCGGCAATCAAAGACGCGGATGAAATCTTCTTAGTGTCCATTTCTGAACCGTGTGACCACTTCGTCTCCCCTGAATTCTGGCTGGTTGATGGTATCCAGACTTGGTCGCCTGTGGAAGGTAATTTTTGCGGGTTGCATGGACCTGCATCGGCATTTCGGGCTATTGTCCCATGATGCGGGGAAGCTGGGGAGATGGCATGGTGGCACACGGTGCCGGAACATGATTGAAGCGAAACACTCATCCGAGATATAGCACTGCAAACAGGGAAACAATGAACGGATGCCTTGCAGTCTACATTACCTAGGTAGTCTCGGATTGAGAATTGAGATTACTCCAGCGCAAAGTAGACTTCCGGACCAGGAGGCAGGTATTCAACCGTTTCCCCAAACGTAGTGACAGTCTTTTTCAATACGATTGATGGGAAGCCTGAATCCAATTGGAGCCTCGGAGCCTTTTGTCGCGGCAGGTATGTTGGCTAAGCAGTCACCTGGTAGTTCGGTGCGCTGCACCGAGAATTGCAGTAACAGTTGTGTGTAACCAAAGTTCCAGAATGTATGTGAGATTCGAGCGAGGTAGAAGATTGTCTTCTTCCCACGCCTGCAGGTGCCACTGACGTGCGGCATGTTCCGCGACGCGTCCGATCGAATGCAAGCTCGTGTCGGAACCGTTCCGAGCAGTCGGCGCCCTTCGCGTGTCACACCTCTCCAGCCACCTTCCAAGCCCTCATAACCAACGCGAAGCCCATGAGAAGCACCACCGTGCTTCATCAAGAGCCGCAGAAATGCCGTTCTTATGCGATAACGGCGCACTACACGCCTATCTCCGAGGAAAACGACACCAGAAACGGCAGGAGCAACTGCAGCCAAGGTCGATTCTCCTTGGTAAAGTACTCCAACCAGCGAAAAAGCGTCTTGACTGACGTAGCGCTATCACCCAAAGATGGGGGAGAGCCATACTAAAAGAGTGGTCATGCACAAATTGGTGCTCTGCGCGCATTTGACAGCCTCAGCTGAGACCGGACGAAGATGCGTACAGCTTCAATTGCGCTCTTCGCAGCGTCTGCGCTTGCGCAGTCTCAATACGGCGAGAACCATGTCAATGTAAACCTTGACTCGCAGCTTGTGGAGCAAACAGCTTTCCCGGCGCCAGATGTGACCCTTCTGAGCCCCGCGTTCCTGCCAAACGCCTCGTTTGATCCGGGTTGGTCAGAGGGAACTGAAGGCGCGACATCGCAATACAAATTAGGTACGTGAACGATGGTAGATGAACCCAATCATAGCTCGGGAAGCCTAACACTGAACAGAGGAATTCATCAGCAAGCTTGCAGCGAAGAATCCTTCATGGATGACCTACGACGTGGCCGACTTCTTGAGCGAAGAAGGCAAGACGTTCCCGTACGCCTACCTCTCTACCTCCGCATCGAACGCATCCTCTGGATACACATCCTCTGGTAAATTGCGAGTATGGATTCAAGGATCAGTTCACGGGAACGAACCCGCTGGCGACGAAGCCACTCTGGCTCTTCTCGGTGCGATGGATGCCGACCCGACGTGGGCCGCCAGCTTCCTTGAGAAGATGGACATTATTGTGCTGCCGCGTTACAATCCAGACGGGAATGCCTACTTCCAGCGCACCTTGGCTACAAACTTTGACCCAAACCGCGACCACACCAAGCTTGCTCGACAGCAGACTCGCGACATCAAGCAATGGTTCAGCAGCTTCTCACCACACATCGCTATTGACATGCATGAGTATGGGGCTGGGACGCGATACTCTGGCAACTACAGCAACGCGGCCGATGGGATGTACAGCGCAGCAAAGAACCTCAACATCCATCCATCCATTCGCACGCTCGCCGAGACCGTCTTTGCGCCCGCAATCAACGCGTCTCTCCTCTCCCGAGGTCTGCGCGGAGAGCCATACGTGACGGCCTCGCGGACGAACCCGACTCCACGCTTGGACGAGGCGGGAACTGATGCAAAGATCGGCCGCAACGCCATGGGACTCACACAATGCGTTACGTTTCTCTTTGAGACTCGAGGTATCGGCATCGCAAGCCAGGAGTTCAAACGCCGAACCGTCGCTGGCTTGCAGATGATCCTCGGTGTGCTTGAGACTGCTCGAGATGAAGCTGCGGACGTGAAGAAGACAATCGAGGGTGCTATTGCAGAGGTTGTCGAGAGCAAAGAGGAGATAGTCATCACAGACTTCACAACCTACTCGAACCGCACCTATACTATGGTTGATCGTCGGACCGGCGAGGTTGTTCAACTCCCAATCGAATTTTCCAGCACCACGCCCGCAACTGCCAACATGACTCGCGCTCGGCCCGAAGGGTACATAATCCCCCGCGCGTGGGCTGACCTTGCCGAGCGTCTCAGGGTGTCAGGACTGGAGATCGAAACTATGCCCGAGGGTTTCCATGGAGAGGTCGAAGCATACAACATTACCTCTTCTAGCCTCGGCTCGTCATACTATGAAGGCGCCATCTTGAACACTGTTACTACGGAAACACTCGTTCAAGATGTCACGCTGCCTGCTGGCAGCTTCTTCGTAAGCAGTGCACAAAAGAACGCAGGACTAGCTTTTGTCGCGCTAGAGCCTGAGAACATCGACTCATATGTCTCATTTGGCATTGTTCCTATGGAGGTCGGCGACGTCTATCCGGTCTTCCGTCAGATGTAGATGAGACGTGATCTTGTCCTTATCCGATATTATTAGTAGCCAGACGTACGGATCAATAAGATTTGAGGGTTACAGATCATCCATGGATGGCGGAAAGCGAAATGTCGCTCTGTGACGTTTGATCCCAGGGGCTCAGATGGCCCGTGCACTTATCATATATGACAACCCCATCTGATCTCACTCTGGTCTATCTTCCAATTTTTCTGAATGCGTCATGGCGTCATCCACACCAACGTACCAGCGCGCTGACTACCCGGAATCAGAACGCGTATTCTATGGTTCCGAGGCTGCGTTTGATGCAAAGAAGCTCACTGCTGGCGTTCGATGCGTCGAATTTGGTCCACAGTTTTACGTAGAATGGTAAGAACACTAGATGTATTCTAAATGAGTACAAATACCCATCATGTTCACAGGAAACATATCCAAGCTTTGAAGCAGTATACCAGGTCGCTCGAGGTGCTGCAGATGGATTGCAGTGGCTGGGACTTAACCAACGCCGATGTCAAGGTTATTGCATCGCGCAATCCGCAACTCAGAGAAGTCCTTTTACACAGGGCATTAGAAATCACCGATAAAGGCATCGTTCATATTCTTAAGAACTGCCCTTCGATCTCCATAATAAAGGTCACCGGACCCGAAATCGGGACTGGACTTGTAACTGGAAAGTTCGCTGGGTTTCTCAACCAGCCAGCCATAGTCGAATCGCGCACAAACCTCGAAGCCATTTATCTTTATGACCAGGGAACGGATGAGTCGATGATCAAAGGTATCTCCAAGAAATGGCGTAATCTCCTCATCTCTACCGGAATCACTATGGCATGCGGTGATGTATGGTCGTTCAATTGGCTCAGAGGCAAGCGTCTAAAAGAGGGTGAAGAAAGTACTCTTGAGGATATGGGATACCGGTTGCCAAAAGTAGATGAAGACTTTACAATCCATCCGTGGAGCCTCAGCTTTTCGCGCAAAGAGCCCTCGAGATCCGTCCAGGCCGGTGCTAGCACGTGTGAGATACCAGAAGGAGACAATTCCGACAAGAGTGAAGCGGGGAGTGACGGTGAGGAAGACGAAAACGGCAGCGAAGACGAAGACGAAGACGACGACGACGACGACGACAGCAGAGCCTGGGCATCCGACGACAGTGATGATACTCTAGGTTACGACCCTGAGGAGGAGGGATACTTCCATGATATCTATACCGGTCGTCGGTCTGTGCCAGTGTACGAACCGTACCACCCCGCTGAAATCCCATTCTCAAAGACGCTGTACTTTCGTTCGAAGGAAGACTCGGGAAGGCTATGGCCTGACGTTAAGCGTACTAGCATTCAAAGTATACAGTTCACTGATGAATTCTGCGTTACTGAGTAAGCTCTGCCAGATCTTCCGAAGTGACACCCGATGTGCTAACAGTATCCTCTAGTAAGCATATTAAAGCTATTGCAACCGCCCCTCCCCAATTCCGCAAGTCCCTGCACACAATTGGTTGCGGCTACGGGCGCGTCTCTGACGCAGCTGTTGCCAACCTCACGCGCGCCGTCCCACATCTCAAGGATATCGATTTCTACGACACGCATACTCTCACCGACAAGGCCATAATTTCCATCATCAGAAACTGCCCCGGCATCGAGCGCATAGCTATAGCCGGTAGTGACAGGACACCTGGAAAAGTTAAATGTCGCGGTCGTCTGGTAGATGTCATGGAGGATCTGACACTTGCCAAGAAACTGCGGCATTTGGAACTATGGAATCAAATGCTCTTCATCAGAGGCGTTGAGAGAATTTCGAAAGCGAGGCCGAAATTGGCGATCGTGGACGGTGTGACTGTGGGCGATAGTATGGCGACCCGGGTAGTTGCTGCACAGGCAAGTGGTAGGTATATGCATGTATATCTTGGTGGACATCTGGACTTTGATCTGGATTATATATGTAAAGTGGTAGATTATGTGTGGTAGACGGCTAGCTGGACCACCCCATTCAATGGAAAGACTGAACTCCTGTCAGAAGTGGATAACCTAGAAGTCTATAATGCCTTGAGATTTAGTCAAATGCGTTCATCGAACCGATGTAGGCTGCAGAGCACCTGTTCAATGTCTTCATCATATGAGGTAAGACTGAGGTTTCGAAGTCTTCATAAGGTAAACTCAAACAAGCCACTCCTTCCACCACGTCACCGCCCTATCCTTGGCCTTGATCATAGCCTCCCTTTCTCCCGGAACTTCCTCGTCGCCCTTGGTAAAACAGCCATGGTGAGCATCTGGGAAATGTACCCACTCAACCGCTTGGTTCTTCTTCTCCAAGACTAGCTTCTTGAACGCGTACAATCTCATCTCCTCGGGGAACATACTATCATGTTCCGGCTGCAAGAACATGATCGGTACATCGACACCATCGAAATCCGCCTCGGTGAGCAATGACGGATGGGCGCAGATGACACAGTCGACCAACTTCTCAGTCGCGAGACGGAGAATGGCCCAGCCGCCCCAGCAGTAGCCCACTGCACCAATCTTCTTAAAGCCGTTGGCACGGAGTTCTTTAGCGCATGCGAAGATTTCTGGTTCGCGGACCTCACGACTATTGCGCTTCTTGAAACCTTCGACATCCAGTTTGTCGAATTTGCCTGCTTTGAGGAGGCCTACATCGAGTACTTCTCCGCCGAAGAAGTCAGGTATATAGACTGTGACGTTTGCCTAGAGTGCATAGCGTTAGGGTCAGTACAATGTTCTGAGGATGGGGATCTTTCGCGATATTTTTGAGATGACCCCGGACGCACCTCTTTGGCAAAGTGATCGGCTAGGAGACGAGTATTTCCGAACCTCCAGCCCAAGGCATCGTGGGCGATGAGGACGGCTGCGTTGGGGTTGGAGCCAGTAACGTAGGTTGGGTTGCCCGCGATTGTCGCCTCGTGGCCCCTTGGTGTACCGTTCCAGTCGAATGATTTGAGGCAGCACGGTTCGAAACCTCTTGGTGATGTCATGGTGTATGCTAGTTGTGTATTGAACGCTGACGGAGAAGAGGGGAAACGTGTGACGAGACTGAAGTTGCTTGACTTGGCGGGCTAGAGTTGATTCGCCCATGATGTCTACTCTTATATTCTGTCCATGCCTAAGGCGTCCCGTCAATCTGAGATTTCCTGGACACGTCAATCTACGAAAAAGCTGAACACCCTGGAGCCTCCGTTGACGTAAGGTTACCCACTTTGTTTGTTTCTATCTCAATGTAGTCTGCTGACCTGTTCGGCTTGGCCTTGTACGAGGTGTGGGTATGCATTTCCAATGTCAACATCGCTAAGGTGATGGACTTATCGCCAGGATGAGGACGGAGTTATCGCTGGCTGGGCGCGAATCAACCTCGGTGGTATTCCGGAGCGGAAGGTGATCTCGCTGCGATGCCGATACTGCGCTAACGGACGAACATCAAGGCGCGCGAGAACTGGTCTGATTAGTCAACGAGGTTGTGGGAGCTCGCGGTGTTCGGAGTTAAGCATGCTATTTACCGACGATGAATTGAACGGCAGTGACTATTCTCGTTACTGTAGGAGTACAGATGCATGTTGTATCAAGAATGGAACGCGGGGGTCGTTTGCGTACATCGACGCAGAGAGTCGTGCATCATGAACGTGAAAGAGAGTTAAGGAAACGCCTGTTGAAAGGCCTATGCGTCTAGTGATGCAACACAACAGCCCGCCCACCTTATGAGAGTGATGAACTTCTCACCCAAACGCCGATCCCATATAACGCCAATGCAGAGAGTCGTGCAAAGATAGCACATGATGCGACGAGTCAGGCCGCCTGACACCCCAACTAGATGCCGAAGCTTTTCTGACCCAGTATCATTTCTACCGCCTGTTGATGAGATTCAGGAATTCCTGGCGGGTCTTGTCTCTTGATCGCATGCATCCGAGCATGCAGCTTGTAGTTGTTGTAGCGCCTGTCTTCTGCACGCCGCGCATGACCATGCACAAGTGACTTGATTCGACTACCACAGCGACACCTTGTGGCTGTAGCATCTCAGAAAGGGCGAGCGCAACTTGTTTGGTGAGGCGCTCTTGGACCTGTAAGCGGCGAGCAAACATTTCAGCGATGCGAGCGAGTTTGGAGAGGCCGATGACGCGACGGTTTGGAATGTAGCCGATATGCATCTACAGAGAGGTCAGTAAACATTCCTTAGGGCAGGTACAACAGGACAAAGGACTTACCTTGCCCATGAAGGGGACCAGATGGTGCTCGCAGAGGGAGAAGATCTCGATATCTCTCACAATGACGAGCTCATCGTGGTCCTCGTGGAAGACAGCACCGTTGACGATGTCGCGCAAGTTCTCTTCATAGCCCTTGGTGAAGAAGAGTAAGGCCTTGGCATAGCGCTCGGGTGTGTCCAACAGTCCCTCGCGGTCTGGATCTTCGCCCAGACACTCAAGCATCGTTCGGACAGCACCAGACAGCTTCTTCAGATTGGCTTCCTTCTCCTCCTCGGTCGCCTCCTTCCTCTCCCGCGTGCCCTTGCTGGGCCAGCTAAGCCCATCGAAGTCGATGGTGGGATGCTGTGTGTATGGGCTATGGGCGCGACTGGTCGCAAGTGGTGTTTGGGCAACGGCGCCCTCGTAAGGGTCTTCGGCGTCTACCTGGCCGTTCGCCATGACATGTCGGTTGTCAGTGTGCATGTTCGCGACCGAAGCCTTCGTGGGGAAATAGCTAGTCGGCCCGTCAAAGTTTACTGGCTGGCGCCCTCGGTTGGAAGTCTCTATAGCATGGAAGAGGTGCTCGCGCTCTTTCCTGTCGCGCGCCTCGGTGGTGAGCCTGAGGGGTGATCCGCCGTTCATCATGTGGGAGGGAACCGCGGATTTGGGTTTGGGGGTGTCGGCGTCCATAATCGCGGGGAATTCGTCGGGACTTTCTTAGTGGGGAAGGGACTTTTCAGACTGAGGAAGCAGCAAACTAGAGATGAGAGGATGACACAATGCCCAGGGAAACATGTTTGGCCTGGCGCATGCTTTCCGCAGGAGAATAGTTCGGAGCCCGGTCAGTATGACTACAAGGGAATAACTTATTCCTGCGCCGTCGAATGCGGATTAGCGTTCCAATCTAGCGATGACGCCACACCTCGTCGCGCTCTGACCAGGTGGGCACGTGACAAGCGGGCAGCCGACCAGCAGGAGAGCTGCGACACTACCACGACCCTTCGCTTCCCGACGCTTCATCATCAACACACGCCGCCCCGACCACGCATGGCATCGACCATACCACCAGCGCTCGGCTCGACATTCACGATTTCTAGCGATGATGCGAACGGGTGACAGACCGCCGTGACGGGGCCCGAGGGCTTTCCTTCGGTCCCCGCAGCTTCACCGTAGCAGAACAGCAAACGGCGCTTCCGCTTCAGCGCCGCCCATCTCCCTGCTCGACCCACTGCGCATATCATAGCGTGGCATTACATGATGATGCGATGTGCATCGAGGCAGGATTGGTCATCTACTGGCGATGACAGAGAAGGGCAAAGGGTCACCAAGTTACCACGGCCTTGCTTGGGCGTCGTTCTACCGCCCTCGCGCAGTCGCGTACTAATCACGCATCGTGCACTATTCTTAACATATACTGTGGCTACTCCGCGGTGGGCAAAGGCAGTGTCTACTCTACTTGTCGTTACAACTCCCAGTTCCCAGCCCCGGCCAGGGCTACAATCACCATACGACTGCCGCTCAATTGCGACATGCTCCGGGCGCTGTCGAGAGTATGTCCAGATTCATATGGCTGCTCGTCTTTGGTGACCGTTCCAGGACAGCAAGTGAGCCTGGCTCACATATTGTGGCTCTTTTGTCTGGCGCCGTGCCATACCTTGCATCCAGGTCTGGTAGCTCTAGGCTATCGGGTGCATCGACCGCGCCCCCAGCATGGGAACTACACCATCTTCCCTCCCTTGCGGAGCGCGAGCTTTCGCATGCCGATCGTGGTAACGTGAAAAGCCTAACGTCAAGATGATCGCGGCGAGCTCAATTAAACTACAAAAGGATCGCATCACCTTTCTGGATCGGCCCAACCCCCGATAATGGGATATCTCGACTTATTGGTGTTTAAAGATATCGCCGTGCCCGAGTTGCCATGGCCTGATATTGAGGATTACATCTCTTCAACTTCGGTCGTCAGGGGTTGTCTTTAGTAGGGTGGCGGGGTCTTGCTTCGCATGCGTTATGTAGATGTCGTGAAGCCATATGGCACACCTGGTGGACTGCAACATGATCTCCAAAATCTGAAGATGCGGAAGGGTCAAGCCGAGATGAAATCTGGGAGCAGGCTGGAGTCTTGGGCGCCAGGGAGGGGTTTCCATGCACACTCGATGAGGGCGACTTGTCACGGGGCTTGGCGTTGTCGATAGCGGCAGGCGAAAGACCGACGAGCGAGAAGGCGCTGCATGCGCAGCGTCTGCGGCCACGACAGCAACATCGAAAGCGCATCAACGGCAGCGCATTGAGGAGTGTGTTACAGTCGCAGCCGATTCTCTTGTTGTTTTTCGCTTTCATTACTACTGCTTCGTAAGGCTGAGAGCAGGGTGCCGGACTTTCTTGTTGTTCGGTTAGGCCGTGGCACTTTGACCCGCGGACCTCTTGATGCTGCAACCTTGCGCCTTCTGATGCCCTTCCTGCCTCTATGGCTGCCCTGCGACGGGCTCAGGATATAGACCAGTGGAGACCAGAGGACTCATCTAGTAGGGACAGAGAGCGATCTAGGGACCGGTCACGGGAGAGGAACAACGAGGGCAGAACATCGTCACCAGTGCCACGAGCTGCCAGAGATTCTCCCAGACACCGCGCACACGACACCCACACGCATTCATCGGCCAGACACGCACGGGGACGTTCACGCGAAAGAAGTTTGAGCAGAG